AGGAATGCGCCAGTGAGGAAAGGCTAGCAAACAGCCTCGGGAAAAGAGGGGTTTGCAAGGCATGTGGTTGGAGAAACAGCCATTTCCCTTCAGGAGCCTTCCCCATCATTTGCACCCTTATTTGACTGTATCTCAGAGTCAGGAGGATTCTGCTGGGACATTATCCACCCATTGGGAACCTGGGAGAGTGTCTTTAACGCTGCCTTTGAGCTCAAGCTATGAAGTCCTGTGGCAAAGCAGCCGCCAGCAAAACGCACCCACCTCCAAGGGGGACCAGTGGTGGGCACTTTAGGAAAGGGTTTGGAGGGTGGGAACAAAGCGCGTTTGATCCAGCTGGAGCCACAGACAGGGCTGAAGGGAAGTGGCAAGTCATTACTCCGGCTGGAATGGGGCCAGGGTGTCTTGAAATACCAGCTTGCAAAACTTTCACCAAAACACACCACGGGAGCGGGTGTTTCTAGGATAACAGATCCGTCCTTTCCCTCTGCAACTGCCCCGGGAGCAGCAGCGCCGCGGAAAACCATTAGCAGGAATTAAGGCTGTAACAGATGCCGGGTCCCTCGGGATGCTCCGGGTCGGTTTGCTGAGCTCAGGACTCTGCGGAGGGCTGGAGGTGAAAGGCTCATTTCTTTCGCTGTGGAGAGGAGTCCTCCTCGGGCTGGCCCCAGGGATGTGTGCAGGGCTGGCTGCACCCAGCAGAAGGCAGCAGCGAAGGCAACTTCTTAGTGCTTTTGGGATGTAAAGAGGGATTTTAAGTGGTTTTACCCATCTCCTGCATAAAAAGATTTGCTCACCCTGTGCTGCAGTGACAGGACAAGGGACTATGGGTTCAAACTGAAACAGGGGAAGTTCAGGTTAGATGTAAGGAAGAAGCTCTTCCCTGGGAGGGTGCTGAGGCGCTGGCACAGGGTGCCCAGAGAAGCTGTGGCTGCCCCATCCCTGGCAGTGCTCAAGGCCAGGTTGGACACAGGGGCTTGGAGCAATCTGCTCTAGTGGAAGGTGTCCCTGCCCGGCGTTTAAGGCCCCCTCCACCCCAAACCATCCCACGACCCTGTGACTGCTCCTGCAGAGGCAGCCGTGGATAACCCCAGCTGGGACCTGCTGCATTAGGCACAGAGATGGCATCACTTGAGGAAGGCAAGATGCAAAGAGAGAAGGCCTTTCCCATGGCAGGGGGTTGTAACTGCATGATCTCAAGGTCCTTTCTAACCCAAACCACTCAATGATTCTGTGATTCACCCAAGCCCATTTAAAACCATAAAATCAAATCCCGGCACAAGGCTGCAAGGACCAAGAATTCACTGTTAAGTGTCACCAGACCCTTCTTCATCCCCAAACCCTCAATCTCAGTCCCCAACTGCTCCATGTGGCACAGCACCGAGAGCCTCCCCCTGCACTCCCTGCCAGCCAAGGGATGGAGGGCAACCCCACGGGAACATGGAAGGAGACATGTAACCATGGCCTGTGTCCATGCAAAGCCTGCGGCTTTACGCTGGCGTTCCCAAGAGCCAAATCACTGCCCTCATTGAGCAACAGCTTGAAAGACAAAAAGAAAAGAAAAGAAAAGGGCTCGAGCTGACAGGGGTAGGATCCACCCTCCCTGGCCACGGGCAGTGAGCACCCCCTGACTGCCAGCCCAGGCGCTGGCAAAGCCCTCGCTCAATGCTCTGCGAGGAGCAGAAAGGCAGCAGAGGGGCCACAGTCAGGTTCTGCAGCAATCAGCTGCCTTTACCCGAGCTCCACCAGCCCATTCAGCCCCATCCAGGCACCTCCAGCTTGGCTGTGTCTCCCCACATAGGCAAAGCATCCCCCAAACCCTGTCAAGCTGCAATGACAAACCACTTCTTTCCTGGGGTTGAGCTGCCTTGACAGCCTAGGACCAGCTCCAGGACCTTCACTTTCTGTCCCAACATCCTGTGTCAACTGAACACACTGGGAACGAGAAATCCTGGCTCCAGGAATGCTCCTCCAGCCCAACACCAGGAACAAGACTTTCCAGACAGAACTACAGCCCTCTCCAGCCCGCAAGCACATGGAGGAGGGGAACATGAACTACACCTCTGCTAATGAACCACCCGGAGCCTGGCGAGAGGTGCTAAGAGGGAAAAGCAGAGGAGGGAGCAGGGCTTCGTTATGCAACCGCGTTATCTAACGACCACAGAGACACCCTATAGGGGCTCTTTGTTTGCAGAGGGCAGGATAAAGAAATGCCACCAATATCTGAGTCACTGGTTCACCAAGAGGCTCTGGAGTTATTTTCAGATGGAAACTTTTCCAGTTTCACATGATAATTTGGGAGGACTGGCTAATTCCCTGGCTCCACCCACCGCCTTGTAACACAGCTCCCTGCTGCTCTTGCATATATAGATAGGTATGGCCCTACAACTGGGTGCAGACAGAAGAGCCTGGAGACAGAGGAAACCCAGACTTTCTTCTTTCCCAGCTGCCCTCTACCCACTCCCACCATGAAGAAGGAAATACTAACCCTGGCATTTGCTCGAGCTGTCTTCGTCGAGTTCCTCTCCACGCTCATCTTTGTCTTCATCGGCCTCGGCTCAGCCCTCAAGTGGCCGTCGGCCCTGCCCAGCATCCTCCAGATCTCGCTGGCGTTCGGCCTGGCCATCGGCACGTTGGTGCAGGCGTTTGGGCACATCAGCGGCGCCCACATCAACCCAGCCGTGACCATCGCCTTCTTCGTGGGGAACCAGATCTCCTTCCTCCGGACTCTCTTCTATGTGATTGCCCAACTGGTTGGGGCCATCGCTGGGGCTGGCATCCTCTATGGGGTGACACCGGTCAACACCCGTGGCAACCTGGCCATCAATGCGGTAAGTGTGCCTACCTGGAGATGGTTCACCTCACCGTTTGGGCGCCCCTTCCCTTCCGAGTGGGCAGCTTGTGGCAGTGCCAGCTCGGAGAGCCGAATCCATATGGAGGGTCCTTCTCAGTGCATTGCATAGAGGGATGGGAATGGGCTAGGAGCAAACCCTGGCACAGGCAGCAGAGGATTGACATGACAGCTTTATTGTGCGGGGTAATAAATGGCATGTTTTTTTCCCTTCTTTAATAAGTGCTTCCTTTATCCTAAGGGCCCGAGTGAGTCACCAGCACCATTGAGATGTTCTTGACTGCAGCCTTTCCACCTGGAGATTAGTGCTGGGATAGGAGCTGCGCCAGGACAGAGGCGGGAGGGCAGGGGGCAGAGCCCGCACGGGCAAGGCGCGCCCAGCAGGGGCTGGGGGGGCAGAGCCAGCAGGGTCAGTGGGAGCAGAGCCCGCTGGCAGCGGTGCACTTGGGGAGCCGGGGATGGGAGGAGGATGAAGATCAACCATGGCGAGGCAGCGAGTGGCTGCTCTTGGAGGAGGAGGGGGGACATCGGCACCCTGTGAGATAAGTGGGGATGAGAAGCTTGTCTCGAACCCTTGGGAAGAGCTGGGAAACCACTTGAAAAGGGAGCAGTGGAGCTACTGCTCCAACCACGCCAGGTCTGGAGCGCCGGGAGCAGCGCAGACACTCGGCAGAGGGTTCAGTCGCTGGGGTGAGGTGCTGCAGTGCATCTCATTCCCACATGGGCCACGTCCCAAACCAGTCAGGTTTAGCTAAAAAACATGGGTCTTGGGGCACTTTGCCCTTCCCGTGCCCAGCGGGGTCGAGTCCACCCGGCAGATCCCAGTGGGTAGCACAAAGGCGCCGGGACAACAGCCCTTCTTACCCCCATCACTACATCCTTCATCCAATGCCCCTCAGCCCCTTGGGGAGGTGCCCCACAAAGCAGAGGGCAGAAGAATCGGGATACAACAGCTTGCAAGGATCAAGGGGGAAAGAAAAGCGGGGGAAAAGGGACAAATCCATGTGGAATTTGGTGGGGAAGCGCTGAGTGCAATGGGGACAAGCAAGCGGAGAGAGACCGGAGAGTGCTGGGAAGGGGTGGCTCAAGAGAGAGGCAGATTTTGGAGCACAGAAGAGTAAGAAAGGTATTTTCTTCACTTTCAGGGAAAGGAGCAGTGGCAGCACAGCACCTTCTGCCCAAAGGCTGGGCAGGGGACCCGGGGGGGGGGCGCTTCTCGTGCACGGCTCTTTGCAAGCCCAAACCCATCAGCAAAGTGGGATTGCAGAGCCCCAGGGACGGGTAATGATTGTTGCTCTTGCTGGTTGACAGCTCAACAACAACACGACCGCTGGCCAGGCCCTGGTGGTGGAGATCATCCTCACCTTCCAGTTGGCTGCGTGCATCTTTGCATCCACGGACAACCGGCGGACCGGCGGCGTGGGCTCCCCAGCACTGTCCATCGGCCTCTCGGTAGCCCTAGGCCACTTGGTGGGGGTGAGTGTCCAGGCAGAGGGTCCTGCGAGGACAGAGCTCCCCAAAATACCCCCCTGTGGTTGGTTCCAGAGGGAGCTGCATTGGCAGAGCCAATGGGACACAGCGGGGCTCCTTCTCCATGGTGATGTGGGGGAGAGAGCATCAGGGACCACTTCAGTCCCTGCTTCTGGGAAGCTGCTTGTATCTGCTAAGCCACAGGTTAAGATGAAGAGATAAGGTTAAGGTGCTGCATCTTAACCTGGTCTCCTTCCCACACCGACAGATCTACTTCACTGGCTGCTCCATGAACCCAGCCCGGTCCTTCGGGCCCGCGGTTGTCGTGAGGAAGTTCAGCTCAGCACATTGGGTGAGCACCAGCGCTGGGACCCGGCTGGATGAGATGCAGGGCAAGGGAGAGGGCAGCGATGGCCACAGGGCTGGATGTTTCAGAGCCTGAAAGGGGGCTGGAGAACAAGGGAGGTTGTCCCACTGGGTGCATGGATGGGGAACAGGTTATCCCCATGGCATAGAGCTAGCATAACTCCCCATGCAATGGTGCACACTGAGCTAGGGCATCATCTGATGTCAGTAGAGCCCACAGAGAAGTCCAGCTTCAGCTTTCCACTCACCTAGTGAGCCTGCAAGCTCAGACCCAGCCTTGCAGAGCAGGCTTGGTGCTTCCTCTCCAGCACACCACATCTCTGCACTCATAAAGAGCTTGATGTCTTCAGCAAGCAAAGCCTGAGGGCATTTCAGCCCAGGAAGTCTACTGGGACGGGTATTTGCATCTCTCCATGGGATAAGAGATGTGGAGCAGCAAGGGATGCTGGTGTGATGGCTGGAGCTGGTGCACCACCCTCCAAGACCTGCTCTCACCCTCTTCCTTGTTTGCTTTCTAGGTGTTCTGGGTTGGACCCATCCTTGGGGCTTGCTTGGCCTCCCTGCTCTACTTCTACATCCTAGTCCCCTACTGCATGAACATGTCAGATAGGGTTGCCATTGTCAAGGGCACCTACGAGTCAGAGGAGGAGTGGGAAGAGCAGAAAGAGGAGAGGAAGAAGTCCATGGAGTTGACCCCACCCTAGGAAGAGTTGGGAAAGAACAAGCAGAAGGAGGGGAGGAAGCTCCACACATGGGCTCATGTGTGCGCCAATGAACACATCCAGCTACAGCAGACTCTTAAGCAAAAGTCTTATAACTCAAAGACCACCTGTGGCTAAGAAAGGAGGATCACAGTGTGTGTATATAACCCCTCTACACGAGTGTGAGCACTAGAACCTCTCCTAAGCTTAACTGCAGCCAGCGAAGGCGTCTCAGCCCAGGGCAGCCTCAACTGCAGCTTCGCACCCCGTGGGCTGCATCCCTGCCCTCCGCGGTGCCGGTCCTGCACCGTTGTCCGAGGCCTGAGCCCACATGTGCTGGTGCACACAGGATTTCACCCCTGCATCCGATGGCCCAGGGCATGGGAACACCATGTAAGCCCCAGCAGAGAAGAATGACCGCTTTGGGCAAGGTGGGTGCAGCCCAATCCCCCGCTTCCTCCCTGCCACAGGGCCCACGCTACTCATAGATGCTCTTTGTCATGCATTAGCTGGTGCTGGGGAGTCCTATTTATTCATGGCTGCAGAAAGAACCGTGATTTTTTGCATTTTGTGTCGAGATCTTTGTACTATAGGATATTATTTATTGTGAATAAAGGGAATTTTAAACAAGCCACGGGCACAAACCTGCACGGGCATCAGATTTTAGGAGTAAAGAACGGATGAAGCTGGGTGCAGAGACATCCCAAAGGGCAAGAGCCATTCAAAGGGCAGCTTTGGGACCCCAAATCCTGTGGGAACTGGCACTCTGAGGTGGTTTGGGAGGTGATAGTGGTGAGGATGAACTAGTGTAGGAGGTGCCTCCCAAGCAGGTCCTGGGTCCAGGGCAGCATGAAGCCCATCTGCGGGGCTGGCACGAGCAGGGAGGAGCCAGCAGCGATCCTTCACGCTCCAGTTTGACTCAGGCTTTCTGCCATTCCAGTTCTCCCACTGGTGCCCTCAAAAGCTGACCCACAACACTCCCAGCCCCTCGCTGGGTGCCAAGCCCACACCTTCACCCTGACCTCCTGCTGGAGCCCTGCTCTTCCAGTTCTGCCACCACCCTCTGCCTAAAGCACCTCGCTCCAGCCTGGCCGCGGGGACACCAGCTCCATCCTTCCCTTTGGCTTCCCAAACCCAGCCCCAAGCAGAGCTCCATCACAGCCCCTCTTCATACTGCAGACATGAAGCTTCTGCTGAGCACAGACCCCAGGGAAGATGGGAGATGCTTGTCCAGGAGCTCCCCGATGCAGATTGGTGCCCATCGGATGGGTTATGCCCCCTTTGCACGGGTCATGGGCAGCATCACCCCTATTTTAAGCAGATTTGCAACCAGGCTGAGCCTGGGTAGCAGTAGACCTTTGTCCCTCATTCTCCTTTACTGCCCCCATGCTCTAGCCCTCAACAGAAGAGGTGGGTGACCAGGAGGAGAGAAGGAGGTGGAAAAGTCCTTAGTTTGGGTCACACAGAAGTAGGGAGCTAAAAACACAGCCCTGTACCCTGCCTTAACCCTCCAACCCACCCCTCCTCAGGGGTGGGCTGAGATCTACAACCCTTCTGTGCCTCAGTTTCCCCTTTCATAAGGGGGGAGAATAATAAGCCCCTTTCTCACTGGGAAAGGGCAGCACAGTTGCACATGGAATGATGATACCCTCCAGACACAAGCCCCAGGGGAACATCAAAGCACCTCCAGACCTCAGAGACACTCCTCTCAAAGCACCCCCAGCAAAGCACGGGGCTGGGGCAGGTCAGCATCCCAAAAGCTACATCCCACAGTCTCCTTCCACCGCACCCCTGATCCCCAAGGATGCACCCAGAGGGTACATTGAGAGCAGGGAACTCTGGGCATCCCCCTCGCTTTGCCGATGTAAACCCCGTCCCTCCCGAGCATCCGGGAGTCCCGGCACAGCCCACACCCCACAGAGGGACACAGGGGCCACCAGAGCCCCCCACGGAGGGGCCAAGCCCACAGCAGCCCTCCCAGTGTGCTCGACAAGCAGAAGAAAGGCAGGCTGGGTGTGAGCCCTTCGTGGGATGAATCAGAGCATCTGCCACAGCAGCTCTGCGTCAGCACGAAGAGCAGCCAGGGCCCGGCTCGAAAGCACAGGATGGACCCAGGCAGGGCTGGAGGCAGCAGGGAGGGGGCACAAGCAATGAACCCCCTTCTCCAGTGCACAGGCAGGGGCAGACTCTCAAGCAGCGTGAGAGCAGCCTGGACGCCAGCAGCATCCTCCCGGTGCAGAGCTCTGGTGCTCGTGTCACACCTTCCCCACCCAGCTTCTTGATGGTCCACGTTCGAGTTAATCCATGGCAGAGGCTGCATTTAATCCAGCCCAAACGTGGGAGCCTGCGAGGGCTGTGAGCTCACCTCTGCCGGGGCAGGCACAGGGCAGAGCCCGGGTCACAGCTGGGGAGCCCCAGGGTCCTCCTGCCTGTTCTCACCTGCCCAGGGATGGGAACAGCAGCGCTTCCAAACACAGAACCCGGGGTCACCTTAAGCATCCGAGCCCTGTTGTGAACGGGATTGTTACTGCTGAGCACCAGCCTTCCAGAAACGGCCGTTTCACAGGGAAAACACCACCTTTATCTCAGCAGACACAAGGAGGGCTCATGGAACCCCCGGGCACTCACAGCACAGTGCACACCACCAGTCCCAGCGCCTTCTCCCTGCGACACGAGTTGCCATTCCAGCAGCAGCAGCTCAGCACACCCCGTCCCAGCCACCCACCCTCCCTATGGCTGTGTGGGTCCGGGACCCGGTGGGTTATCAGGAAGTGAATGTTGTATCACCAGTTCCTCACCCCCCCCGATTTAGAGGTACATCAGGTGAAGCTCTTACACTGCAGCACATCCTTCTTGTATGTCTGTACCATAATGAAGTGCAGTTACTCCCTAAACACACCTACGAGCAGTTGCTTTGCACCAAGAGTATTTCACAGACGAGTTCTCATTCTGGAGCATCTTTTCCATTAGCACAGTTTTAAAAGCATCCTGTTTCGTTCCAGCAGGAGGAAAACCCCAACTCTTCCCATGTTGTAGCAACCTTGAAACCTTATATCTCCTCATGCATCAAAGGGCTTTCAATCTGTTTAAGGAAGGCCTCTTTGTGTCCCTGAAACACAAGCTTCCTGGGCCATTGTAGACACAGGGGAAGGAACCAAGTGCTTGAGGAGAAACAAGACCCTGTGGCAACATCTCCATGAAACAAAGGTATTTCCAACGCGCTGCAGGTGCCTCTTTGCTTCAGCCCCTTGCAAAGGGTCAGCCCAGCTCCCTCCATCCCTCTGAGCAAGAGGGGGTAACACTGCACACGCTGGGGCAAGGGGAGGCGCAAAGAAGCCACCCTGTCGATGTTCTCCCTCCGTGCGCAGCTCGCTGCGAGGTGCGGGAAGCTCTCGAGGTGCTTCCCGTGCACCATCCAGGGCAGAGCTGCTGCCGGCGCAGGAGCAGCCCCAGCACGGAGGC